CAAAGGGCACTGAAGCGCTTGAGATACCCCCAGGAAGCACAGAGACCTCCTCTGAAGGGACTGTGGTGTTGGAGACAAGCAGTTTAGAAGGAATGGGGTCTCCTGAGATCACCCTGCTGATCAGATGCCAAACAGGAAGAGAACACCAAATGCTGTGGAACGTGAACAAGTGTCGTATCTGGAGGAAGAACTCCTCAATCAGTGAGCAAATTACATGGGATATGTAATTGTTCCATGCAGGAATGCAGAAATATCTGATGGAGCCATTAAAGAAGCCTCAGGAAGATCCCTATCAGAAGAGAGGACAACTGCACCCATCTCGCCCAGGCTCTCATTACTTCTCTCTGGTTTCGGAACTGGTCTCTAAATATGTGAGAGCCTGGACAGGCAGCAGCCAAACACTCGGCCTTTTCTGGAAGAGAGGAGCATCAAACTGCCACTGCCAACGTGCTGGTGGGAGAACTCATGATCTGTTTGGCCAAAATCCATCTCAGCAGTGTCACTGCTATGGGCAGAAATGGAGGAGAGATTATGACCAGCAGCATCTCAACCCTTCCAGTCAAGCCGTCAGTGGATGCTTGTTGCTGTCAAGCTATCCCTATGTGCATTAGATTTTGCTGTCACAACGTGCATGCCTCACTGCACCTTCTTCTTGCATCTGCACAACTGCTAATTAGAAAGATCGTTTGCCTTCTACACATTAATAAAGTTTGCTGGTCATCCCATTTGGCTTTTCTTGGTGACGTCTTTGGCATCCCTCACAAAACCAAGCTGTGGGGCGTAGAATTTTCTAATTAAACCTGATAGGAGGAAGGGGAAGAGCAGGCTCAGCAACACCAACGAGCAAGAAAGCAATGGTTAGTGGAGAGCAGCATCGGCGTGAGCTGTCATGGAGCCAAGAAAAGCTCCCTGTGGCCAGCAGAGATGGCAACCACAGCGTGGAGAGCAACCGGGGCTTCTCAGGACAGCCCACAGCAAGGTGGCAGCTGCTTCCCTTCTCCTGCCCATCACTTCCTACCCCGATAAGGAATAACACGCTGCAATTTGGATAATGGGCATGGGAAGGTGATGCAATCTGGTGCACACCAGCACAGCACACTGAGGGTGCTGGGAGAAGACCTTGCATTGCCAAGGACGTTGTGGCTGCGCAAAGCACCCAAGCAAGAACTCCTCCAAGGATGGGAGCCCTCTCCAGTCCTCCTCCAGCTCTGCAGGGTGGCAGTTTTCTCCCTTCCCATTCCTACCCACATTTCAGCAGGGCACCACGTTTCATCAGCACTGAGGCACAAAGGAATCACTGCAATGTATGGAACGAGTGATCTCAACTCTCCTGACAGCAGAGAATGCGAAACAGAGGGAAATGGGTGATTGTTTACCAGACTGACAGACATTCTCACCTGACCCCTTTGGTGTGAGGAAAAATGTGCAACAACTGAGAAATGTGAAATCACAGTGCTGGTGGGAAGGAAGGAGACAAAATGACATAACTGCACTGACATTTGTCTTTTATTTCCCCACATAAGCCAGTGGAGGAATCCTTAATGCCATCACTGGAGGAAGACACAGAGTGCACCTCCAGGAAAGAATCTGCTATTACGAGCGTGGCAGCCCCACTGAGATCCTCCCGAAATCCACTAATCTCCTCTGGAAAAAAAGAAAGCTGTGTTGTGGACAAAGGAACTGCATTCAGATGCGCCACTTTGCCATTCTTTCTGTATCCAGGCTAAGGTCTCTTTATAATGATTGTATTCTAGGGTTGAGTCCCGGTTTCACATTTGCCTGCAGAAGAACTGAAGGGTAATTAAAACAACTTCTTCCTCATTAAATTCTTACTCTTTATCTTCCAAAAGCTCCCAGTCTCATTCCCTTCCCAGGAGCACGTCACCCCAGGCACACCACACACATCCCCGGAGCTTGTTCTCATCTCCATGACATGAAATCAGGGCAAAATTAAACTCAGAACTATCAGCTTGTTCTTTTCCTTGATGACACATCGTCCAAACATGCGATGTCTCTCTTCCACCCTGAAGTGATGATGCTCATCTGTCAGGTCAGACAGGCACTGGAACACACGAGAGTCCTGTTTCATGCAGACAGAAAGGGGAGCTTGGTGCATGGGGTTGCTGGGGATGCCCTGGGGATGCAGCGAGGGGAACGCTGCCCTCACTGCTTCTCTTTTGGAGCACTGCTGCAGCTGGGAGAGGTGCAGGGATCAAAGCTGAGGGCTGATGGTGTGTTCAGCAGCTGGATTGCACAGCTTGTGCCAACCTGAACAGCAGTGACCCAAACGAGGCAGCTGGAAAGGAACTGCCTGCAGTTGGAGGTAGGAGCCTTCAGTGCACTCAGCACTGGGTGGCACTGAGTCTGGTCAGGTTGGTGGTTGGACTTGATGACCTTTGAGGGTCTTTTCCAACCTAATGTTTTTGAGCCTGATCCTATGACAAATTCGCAGAGCTTTGAAGCACGCCAAGTGCACAGCCCTCGAGACAAAACAAATCAGGAGTTGTTTTTTTCTGGTGGTCACTCATCTGATCTCCTGGAAACAGCCAACTCTGAGTGACTTGGAGCAGGCAGACTTATGCAAAGCCAATATTCACCATGATGGGTGGAGGGATGGGATAGAGAGCTCCGAGCAGAACCATGGGGAAGATGGGATCACCCTTCCCACTACAGCCACAGTCACAGTTGGACAAGCCCATCAAAAACCCACATCCTCAGGTTGTGATTTCAGGCACCAGGTAATGAGAACTTCAGGCTGCCACCAAATGGCCCCACGGCGTGCAGCCACGGGGACACCAGGCACCAAGGGATGGTGAGTCACCTCTTGGCCATGCAGCTTTCTGCTGGGTCAGCTCGTTGGCACCTGAGGACACCAGAGGAGAGGCAGCAGCTGGGAGATGAATGAGGAGGAACTTCTGCTCTTCATGGCACCCAGACTGCACTGCGCACCTGTGTCTCTACCTGAAGAACTGCATTAGCATCTGAGCTGTTTACTTCAATATTTCAGGTTCCACTCCAGAGAATCATTTCACACTTCTCTGTGCTCATCCTATTCACAGATGTGAAAGCAAAACATCTCTCAATGACTTGTCCATCTATTACTGAATCAATCTCCTTTTCAACCCTCTACAGCATGCATGTTTTCTCTGCACAGTTCTCTAAGAAATGCACTGTCCTTGCAGTAGCCAGGTGGTTACATTTGCATCCTCATCCTCCTGGAAACGGTCCTTAAAGAAGGTCAGAAAAAAAGACCGAGGGCAGGATGGAGCACTGACACTGACTGTGTGGTCGTGGTGATGTGTCAGGACATTCCTTTTCAGTCCTCAACCTACATGTTTTTTCTTAACCAGTTGCACCAGTGAGTGGGGCAGTCCAAACATGCCCATGGCAATTCACGTAACTCCATCCTCAGCTGAGTTTGTGCCCACAAAACAAAGCATTTTGTGATGTTGAAATGCTCAGCTGCATCTTCCAGCCAACCACTGGAGGGAACAGAGGAAGCATCCAACCTCAGCATACAGCTCCACCAACACCCGGCACATCCACACACCTGCAATGCTCCATGTTCCATCTACCCCAGGTTGACTCATGCGTATTCCCACGTTCCTCAGACACATTAGTCAGGACCCAAAGGCCTGGGAACAGGCCCATACCTGAAGCACAACGTCCACAACCACTGCACCCAGCGATGCCGCCCAGCTGAGGGTCCCCAACTGAAAGGATCTCATCTCACATCATCCTCTCTCATGGAGGAGAGAAGAGCCCAGCCCAGAGGACAAGTTCTTGCAGAACTCCTGCACACCTCATTTTGGAGGCTTGCTTTCCTCCCAGGACCATTAAGGGTGCAATAACTTTGACTATGGGAAGTGTGGAGGAAGTCAGTGTTCTTCCAAGAACATGAAAGGCTGAAATTTAGAAGCATACCCTTTACACTCTAACTTTTGCAGACTCCAAACTAATTATGGCTGCAAATTGTGCCTGCGTGGAGAGTCTCGAGGCAAATGGGACTAATGGGAACATGGGTGGGTGTGCAGAAGGGTTTCTGCAGCACATCCCTGGGGCAGCGTTTGCTGTCCTGCACAACAAGCAGGATTCCATTGCAAGAAGGGGCTCACATTGGAAAGGCTTCTGTGAAGTAAGACTAAAGTGAAGACCAAAGTGATGCAAAGAAGAGTTTTATTCATGTTTGAAGCAGAACACCAGAAAAGCAGCATCAGGAATCAGGCATCCCTTTCTGAATGAAGCACTTCACGCTCCTTCAGCAACGCAACACCTCCTGGCCCAGGCGCTGGCACGTGCCAGCAGGCTCCATGTGCCCCAGTGCCAGGGAAGGACTGCCCAGCAACGAATGGCGCTGAAGAACAGCAACGCAGACAATGTGGGCATTTCACCTTCTGTGGCCTTCATCAGCAAGTGTGAGCAAGCTCTGAATCCTAACGGAGAGCTCAACGGCCTCCAGCAGGCTCTGTGTGGCACGGTGAGGCTGCAGATTGCAACTGAAGGGAGCTGTGCGTTGTGCACGGCTCAGAGTCTGAGCAAGGGGCCGAGCTCTGCTCTGGGGAGCGCACCCAGGGACTCGCGTGCACGGAAAGCAAAGGCTGCCTGCACTGGCTGCAGAAATGTAGCTTCCAGCAAGAAATGGGACCCCCAACCCAATCACCCCACGCTCCGATTGATGGCTGCACTACAGACTAGAGAGAAGAAGGGAGCCGCGCCATGGCGCCTAGGCGGAGATGTCGGAGGTGGAATCTCCGCAAGGGAAGCGGATGTCGTGGGCAAGGCAAGGCCCGTTGGGCTCCTTTCCAAAATCCACCAGGAAGTTCTTGTTCACCGTCAGGCCTCCCTTCTCCGTGTCCACATCGATCTGCAGCATGACAGAGCCTTCCCTGCGAGGGGTGAAGGAGCAGCGTTGCAGACAAGAGCAGCGCCACGCAACCTTTGCCATTCCCACCCCCGAGGGATCACCCAAAAGGGCCCCTTTCCTCCCAGAGGTTCCTTACTTGACCACGTTCGGGTAGAACTGCTTGTCCCAAGTGCTGTAGAAGGAGTTGGTGACGTACAGCCTCTTGCCATCCACGCTGAGCTGGATCTTAGCGGGGCCGCCGTACACCCGCTTGCACTGGAGGCACAACAGAGAGCAGTGGCGTTGCTGGCTGCTTTCTTTCAGCAGACGAGCAAAAGCAGGAGCAGCAAAAGGCAGCGCAGAGCAGAGCCCGAGTGCGGAGGACGCCGCGGGGCAGAGCCCGCAGAGCTCACCTTGATCACCAAGGGCTCCGGCTGGCACTTCAGCTCTTCATCTCTGCACACCGTCACGGGCCCGCCTCGCAGGATGCTGCCTCCCACAAACACCTGCAGGCAAGGCAAGGAGACGCGTGGCTTGGCACCCAACCACCGCCACCCACTGCCACGGAGCTGCGAGCGCAGCCTCCTGCCCCCGCCTCACCTGTCCCACCAGCCGGGGCTTGCAGGTCCTGGAGATCTCGTACTGGCGGATGTCTCCGTGCAGCCAGTTGCAGACGTACAGGTACTTGTCGTCCAGGGAGATGACCAGGTCGCTGGGGAAGGCTGGGAGGGCAGAGAAGAAAGAGCCGTGGGTGAGGCGGCGTCCCCAGAAGACACCCTGCACGGCTCAACGTGCCGGGAGGAAATGCGGAGCAGCACGGGGGGCTCACCCGGCATCTTGGGCAGAATCCATCCCGACACGTCCTTGGCTGGGATCTGGATGGCCTCTTCCACTGCCCAGCTGTCTCTCTGCACAAGAAACGCACGGCTCACACCGGCGAGAGCGAGGCTGGCGCTCCTCGCTCTCAGCTCCCCGCCCTCCATCGGGGCACTCAGCCGCTCCCAGAGCCGGGGGCCCCGGGGCCGCAGGCCCAGCACTTGCCTCGCACTTGTAGAAGCGGTAGATGACGCCGCTCAGGGCACAGCTGACGTAGCCCTCGGCAGCATCGGGGTTGTGGAGGAACTTCACGCTCAGGGGCAGCGAGTCCTCCCCCAGGTCAAAGCACTGCGTGAGGGTACGGCAGGACAGATTCCACACGTTCAGGCGGCGCCCGAAGACCCCTGAGCGGGGGGAGGAGAAGTGAGCCGGGAGGGGCGGGCAGCCCTGGAGGTGGGCGACACCAACAGCGCTCTGCCCGTCCCCTCCCTCCAGCTCCCACCCATCCTGGAGTTCCTCTGCATCGCCCGTCAGCCTGCTGAGCGCTGCCCAGCGCCTGCATCCGCGTTCCCTCACCTTTCTTCAGATCATCCGGGTTAAATCCCCGTCCCGCAATTCTTGGCACCATCCCGGCGGTGCTGATGAGAACGTTGTGGCGTGGCTGGTACCAGAAGTCATAGCCTGTTGGGGGAACCTCGCACTCGTGTTCCCAGTTACCCTTCAGCTCAAAGGTCTCTCCATCCAGCACAATAAATCCACCTGTGGCACCAGAGGGAAGCACAGCAGATCACTTCTAAGCGCGAAGGTCAGATGGTAGCTGCAATGACCAGCCCCTCTGAATACTTTCTGCCTTTAGATACTGAGCTGCACAGGCTCTGCAGGTTCTTGTTTTCATAAGAACCTGTGCAGTACAGCTTTCCATCTGAGCTATGCAGAATTTTCTGAACCAAAAATTTATCCCCGCTTCATAATGCAAGTCTTTGCTTTAGTGTGCATGCAGTGATCTGGACACCCATGTTGGCTTTGCTCCCCAGTTGTTCTTCCTCCCAACCAGAAATATTCCCGGTCTTGTTACAGCAAGGCGCTACCTTTCCCACGGCCGGCTGCATCCCCCATGTTGGCAATCAGAATGTCACCGTTGGGCAGGCTGTGAACCGCACTAAGGTGGCCCTTGTTGCACTTCCAGAAGACATCCACTGGCTCAATCATCTGGAAGAAGCAGACATGCACACGGATAAGTCTCTTGCTGGAGCTGTCTGAAAAGACCTGGTGACTGCAGGAGCTTTCCTACTAAGAAGTCAGACCTACTGTGCTGTGTTCATACCTTACACACTGTGGGAGCCCGGCACTGCGTGCCCACATCCACCACATAAATACGGGAAGAAATCAGACCAGGGAGGATCAGCTTGTTCTTTTTCGTTGTGATATTGTCAAAGCAGACGCTGCCAGTGCTGCCAGCGCTCCACCCTGAACAGTGCAGCTCGTCTTTGAGGTTGGGCACGGGCAGGCGGTGGATCACCTGGGCAGCCAAAGGTAGAGTCAGGGTTTAGTCGAGGAGATGGGTGGAAACAGCTACCTTCAGCAATCAACAACTTAGAAGTGGAAAAGTCGAAGCTTTAAAGTAAGGAATCGTTTCAAAGAAGCACAACGGATGTGGTCAGTTGGCCTGAGCAGCCATCAGAGACAGGTAGGTGCTGACCTGGCAGTAATATGGAGACCTGGGGTTGAGATCAATGGTGGCCAGGAAGTCAGGTTGGTCAATGCCTGTTTCTCGGTAAGTACATGTCACATACGCAACCTCCTCTCTGGGAGCTAAGAACATGGAAATGTTGTGTTAGAACGTGCTATGAAATAACAATAAAGGCAAATAGTAGCTTCAGGAGACTCTCACATACAGCGAGAAGCAAAGACAGAGCTCCTTTGCCAAGACTCACCTTCAGAGCATGGCTGATAGCACTTGGGTTTCACTACATCGGGGCAGCTGGGGTACTCGTAGCACTGAACTCTGCATCTGTCTGTGGTGAGAAAAAGAAAACGAAATGGGAAGTGCCCACATCCTTCAGTGGTGCCGACTCAGAAGATTCTGTCCCACTCAATGGACTTCTCCCACCCTGGCTGCCAACAAGGACTCCATGACCAGCAGCTCTGTTGGCGGTGGCCTCAACAGATCTCAGGTACAGCAGAGGAATCCTCCTCCAGGTGCCACTGGGCACCATGGAGTCTTTGAGGCTGAAAAGACCACCGAGAGCATCAAGCTCAGCCTCTGACCCATCGCTCCCATGCCCACTAAACCATGACCATGGGGTATCACAGATCAGAGCACTGCTCCATTCGAGAGAGCTGACGTGGACAACCATGTCAGCATTGAAGCCCTAGCAAGAAAATAACTCCAGCTTCTCTTGGAGCAATTCCCCAGCAGAAGGGGAGCACAGATCCCACAGCCAAATGGAAATCGATTGTCAAAGCGCAAAGAGGCCCCTGGGAACAGCGCTAAGGGAGGCTGCAGAGCGTTCCTTACCCATGCTGAAGGCCTTCTGGTTGACTGTCGCCAAGACGGAGGTGCTGGAGCTGAAGGAGCAGCTTGCTGTGTGCCTCGCTGGAGTGGATGTGTAGTGGCAGGGCTCGGAGGGGCCTTATATACACGGCAGAGGGGTGGGGGGCAGCAAGCAAGCTGCCAAGGGAGGAGCAAATGCTCCCAAGCGTTGGGAGGTGCCAGACCAGCAGTGTGGCTTGTTTCCGCCTTGCTACCCAGCAATCTAGAGGAAAAATCTGCTGTTCCATGCAGGTCCTTTCCTCAAGCACAAGCCACGCGATCAGATTGCGGGGCTCTGCTCATCCCCAGTGGGACTTGGCCAGGCTCTGCTGGCCTCCATGGCCCAGGCAGGACATCAGCTAATTAACGCTGTCCCCCATCCCCGGGTTCTTGCCTTACCAATGTGCAGAGCCTGCAAATTCCACGTGAGCGATGAGAAGCCCATCTAGATAATTGCCCCACCATCAGCTTCTGGAAATTGCGAGCCTTGATGTCAGTGTGGCCACCGAAATCTGGACCCTGACACACAGCACGTCTCTGTCAGAGGGCTGAGATGAGGCCATGAAGCTCTGGGGCAATCCAGCACCATGTAGCAGCTGCACCTTGAGTGACCCCAGGGACAGTGACTCCATCCTCTCCCTGGGCTTCCTGTGCCAATGCATCGCCACTGTTTCAGAGAACTTTTTCCGAATATGAAACCTGGACCTCTCCTGGTGCACCCTGAGGCCATCACCTCTCATCCTATCACTACCTGGGCACAGAGTCTGACTCCAGTGGCATCACCTCCTGCTGCTGCTGGTTGCACTATTTCTGCTATCAGCCCAGATGGCCTTGGCATCCTTGGCCATGTGAGCACAACTGCTGGCTGGTGTTCGCCCAGTAGTCAGTTAGCATCTCCACATCTTTCTCCTCTGTGCTGCTTTCATACATGCTGCCCCTCCTCCATAGAGATGCAGGGGGTTGTTGTGACTGAAGAGCAGGAGCAAAGGCTCAGGCCTTGGACCTGGCTCACTATGCTTGGTGTTGGCCTGGATGGCACAAAGCACAGCCCTGCACAAGAAGCTCCTGCTCCATCAGAGGCAGCTACACGCATCAGCTGTGGCCCCTGACACCATGCTTTTGCTGCATGCCTCACTGCACCTTCTTCTTGCACTGGAATAACTGCTAATTAGAAAGATCGTTTGCCTTCTACACATTAATAAAGTTTGCTGGTCATCCCATTTGGCTTTTCTTGGTGACGTCTTTGGCATCCCTCACAAAACCAAGCTGTGGGGCGTAGAATTTTCTAATTAAACCTGATAGGAGGAAGGGGAAGAGCAGGCTCAGCAACACCAACGAGCAAGAAAGCAATGGTTAGTGGAGAGCAGCATCGGCGTGAGCTGTCATGGAGCCAAGAAAAGCTCCCTGTGGCCAGCAGAGATGGCAACCACAGCGTGGAGAGCAACCGGGGCTTCTCAGGACAGCCCACAGCAAGGTGGCAGCTGCTTCCCTTCTCCTGCCCATCACTTCCTACCCCGATAAGGAATAACACGCTGCAATTTGGATAATGGGCATGGGAAGGTGATGCAATCTGGTGCACACCAGCACAGCACACTGAGGGTGCTGGGAGAAGACCTTGCATTGCCAAGGACGTTGTGGCTGCGCAAAGCACCCAAGCAAGAACTCCTCCAAGGATGGGAGCCCTCTCCAGTCCTCCTCCAGCTCTGCAGGGTGGCAGTTTTCTCCCCCTTCCCACCTGGCCCAATCTGCTATGGGACAGATCCCATCAGTGCAGTGAGATCCATCGGCTTCCCTCCTGAAAAAGCTCTCCCTCACTGCTCACCTTTCTCAGCATCCAGCTTTGCAGTTGCTGGGAAACAATGACATGTTTTAATCTCGGTCAGCTCTTCCCCTTTGCTTCTCTCTTCCTTCTCGAGTTTGAGATTTGGGGACTTGGTGCGCGGCGCCTTCGTACCGCGCGGACGGACGCGCTGCAGCGCGATGCACGGTGCGCTCTGCCCTCGTGTGGCCGCGGGGCGGATCGCCGCGCTCAGAAGCCGGTCATACAGTTGGAAATCGTGGAAACAGCAGATAAACAAAGACATAAATAAATGGGCTCCGGTAGCACTGAGTGGAGCAAATGATTTCCTAACAAATCAGTGCCTTCCATGCACAACGGGAGTGCTTTCTGAGTGCTTCTCTGCTCAGTGGGAACAGCAGTGGCTGCAGCAACGAGAAATCCCCCACCGAGTGACTTCCAGACAGGTGACACTGCTGCTCCCTGCAGAGATCTTGTATTATTTTGTATTATTTATGCTCTTTGGAACAAAATAATGCTGGAGTGCTAAAGAGAAAAAAAAAAGAAAGTGAAGTTCCACCTGATTCAAAGAATGATTTTATTGTTGGCTTTGATATACAGAATCGGTGCACAAATGTTAAAAGGTAATCCAGCTCCGGAAACACAAGGCTTTGGGTTAGCAGTGCGTGATTTTGTGCTGTAAATCACTGATTACTTAACGGGCAAATTAAGCTTTGCAGGGAAAGGGCACTCTGTGAAATGTTCACTTCAGGAGTCACCCAGGAGCGGCTCCTCCACCACCCAGCAATCAGTCCTTAGAAGCTGTGAGGTTGGCCTGCAGGCAGGCAGTGATTGCACAGCTCTTTATGAAGGCAAAGATCAAGGAAATAAAAGAGATGCAGGATGTGTTTCAGGTTTACTCGTCTGCCTCAGACAATGAGCATAAAGCGGAGCTTCTGTGGCTCACCCCAATGGAAGGCGAAGTTCAGAAAGTGGTTCGCTGGACTGATTCACCTGCAGGAAAGAGGAGGGGGGGGAATATAATCAACCAAGAAATCAGTAATAACAGCAAACCAGCCAAGAAAATGGCTCCATACACTCTTATATCCAGATGTCCGAGGTGCTGTCACCACCGGGGTAACGAATCTCGTGAGCCAGCGCCGGCCCGTCGGGCTCCTTCCCAAAATCCACCAGGAAGTCTGTATTCACTTTCAATCCACCTCTTTCAGTGTCCACATCGACCTGCAGCATAACGGAGCCCTCCCTGGAAAAGGGACCCAGGAAACGTCAGAGGACTCGGAGTTGTTGGGTCTCTGTGTGACAAAGACAGAACCTGCCCCCGTGCTGCACGCGCGCCTTGATTTGAGACAGGAATCCTGAGCACGGGGTCACCCAGCCTTCCTCTTTCAGCCAACTTTTCTTACTTGACAAGATCTGGGTAGAACTGTTTGTCCCATCCGCTGTAGAGAGAGGTGGAGACGTACAGCCTCTTCCCATCCAAACTGAGCTGAATCATCTGCGGTCCACCCGGCACCCTCTTCCCCTGCAATGAGAACAGAGCACAGAGTGCTCCAGGCATGCTGGGCAACAGCAGGGAGGAACAAAGCATTGCAGTGGTTCTGCTGCTTGGAGGAGCATCCATCACTTGGAACTCCTGCACACAGGAGCAGCAGATCTGCCTCGGAGACAAAGTATTCTTTATTGGGAGCCTAACTCCGTATTCAAAGCCTCAAAGGTGAGAACCAGGAACCAGGAAGAAAATGAGGGGTGAAGGGCTGGTGTTGATGTGCTCAGACGGGCAGGAATCAAGCAATGGATGGGTGCACGACAGAGCTGCCATCCCAGCTCCACCGCAGCTGGGTTTCAATCTGCACTATGAAACAAAGGAGTTTGTGGGACCTCCTGGGACGATCTTCAGCCCGACACCATCCTCTGATCAACAGATCTCCGTATGAGCACATGCAGTTCTTGCACATCCCATAAGAGGTTCCATAAGTAGTTGCCCTGACAGTGATAACGTTAATGAACGCTGATGACGGCTGATAATCGCTGATAACCAGGGATAATTAATGCTCTTTAATTTTTCTATCATGACGCCAGGTGCTGCTGAACTCTTTACCTGAACCCACACCCACCCACCCACAAGGAACGCTGCAGATCAGCAGGAGCTGGTGGAGAGCTTTGGCCATTGGTTGCTGCATGGTTATCACGAGGGGCGATGAACACACACTGCATTTGCTTCCAGTCACTAACAGCAGCAGGGAAGGTGTCATTACATGGGCGTTGGTGCAACCGAACAGCTTGTACAACTCCACAGGGACCCACAAGGCTCACCAGGTTTTACTCCATCTCGTGCTGAAATGCAATACCTGCAGCCCAGGCTGGGAGCCAAGACACAAGCTAGCTCACGTACTGCTTCATAGGCTTTACAGCTCAGATACTGCTTTATATGCTTTATAGCTCATGTATTGCTTTCTATGTTTGTCTGCACTGCAGAGATTCAAAACAGATCAGAATGAGCAGAGCACTGACAACCTGTAAGTGCACAGCAAGAGAGCTGACCTTAATCACAAACGGCTCTGGTTGGCACTGCAGCTCCTTGTCTTCCAGCACGGTCACAGGCCCACCTCTTACAATGCTGCCTCCCAGGAACACCTGCAGCCAAGGGGGGAGAAGTGAGAAATGGTGGGGGTACCAAAGGAAGGTGAAAGCGATAAAGGGGGAAACAGGACTGTGCTGCTGTGTGGGATGGATCTTCTGGTGCTGCTCACCTGCCCCACCAGTTTGGGCCGGCGCGTGTTGGAGATGTCGTACTGGCGGATGTCGCCGTGCAGCCAATTGCTGAAGTAGAGGAATCTGTCGTCCAGTGAGATGAGGATGTCAGTGATGAGACCTGCATGAAAGTTCAGCAGCAGAGCCATGAGACGAATGATGCCAGAACAGGCACAGACATCCCTGGATGTGGCTGCTCAGGCTGCAGCTGCATCCCCAGGACTTTTCCTGAACACTTTGGGCAGATAATCTTCACAGGATGTCTGCTGTTGAAAGACTCAAACTATTTCCCCGAGAAATGGACCTCAGCACTGAGCAATGTGGGAGCAGAGCCCTGACAGCCTCTCCCACCTGCTGGCTCATAAGCAAGAAGAATTGGGTATATTTCAAGTATCATACAAAGAACACAAACAGACTTTAGTGTTTGACAAGGGAAGTGTTTGCTACTCGAGGATAAGAATTCCCAAAGAGCTGCACGGCACCATGGAGCCAAAAAGGAGAATGCTCCGTTCCTTCTCCCCCCACGCTCACACTCACCAGGCATTTCGGGGAGAAGCCATCCCTGCACTTTCTTTCTGGGTACTTCAATCACTTTCTCTGCTGCCCAGTCTCCTTTCTGCAGAAAGAGAGGAGCAAACGCAGCATTGTGACTGCCCTGATGTCAGCCACGAGTCTGCATGGCAGGGATGGACATGATGGGGCTGCTCAGCAATGAGGGGCCACGCGGTGGCTTCAGAAAGCCATTGCATGGGCTGGTAGGAAGGTCTACCCTCTGGCACAGCCTTATTGCTTGGCTAGAGTTGGACAGGAATGAGATGTATTTTTTTACTCAGAACTGCACCACTTCCGAGGTGAGCACTGGATTTCCAACACACCCAGCGTCACTGTGGCTGTCGCTACCTCTGTCTTGTAGAAGCGATGCACTGTTCCACTTAGAGCACATCCAACAAATCCTTCTGCAGCATCGGGGTTGTGGAGGAACCGAATTTCCAGCGGGATGGAGTCCTTCCCTAAGTCAATTGCCTGAAGGAAGGTGTGGGAGCTCCAGTCCCACACGTTGATGTGGCGGCCATAATGCCCTGGTGGGTCAGGTCAGGCAAAAATAAGCACAGAAGGGATTATTCCAGCTTTAGCAAAGAACCACTTTTACTTTAGCAGGTTAAACCCGTGGTCCCTCACCTTTCTCAACATCCACCGGGTTAAACCCATACGCCAGGACTTTGGGGGCCCCCCACTCAGTGCTCATCAGGACGTTGTGCCGCGGTTGGTACCAGAAGTCGTAACCAAAGGGGGGGCACTTCCCCCCTTTCTCCCAGTTTCCCTTCACTTCAAAGGTCTCTCCATCCAGCAAAACAAAGCCGCCTGCAGGAAGCAGAAGGAACGCCTTAAATAAGGTCAATGACATCTCAATATTTGGCATCTATTTGCTAAACGCTGTAAATGCGACCTTACGAAAAATGTTGTGACTCTATTTGTATCACTTCTATGGGACAAAGCAGATCAAAGCAAGATTCTTAAAGAATCACATTTTTAAATAAACTCCAGTTTGCTCTACAGGTACTCAAGGCATTTTGATACACTGGTTATCTTCCCTAAGTAGCTTTCCATTAAGGAGTACCACAGAGGCAATCCTGGAGGAGTCACTTCTGTTTTCTTTTGCTTGCCAACAACAAGCAACTGCTGGAACTGCTGGGTGCACCAAAGAACTGTGAGCCTGCAGCCAGACACACCTCTAGCATTAATTTTGGACAAACAACGAGATGGATACCTTTCCCATTGCCAGAAGTATCTCCCATGCAGCTGATCAGGATGTCACCGCTGCCCAGGCAGTGGGAGGTGTGGGGATTTGCCACGTTCCCCTTCCAGAACAGCTCCACAGGCTCCACAGTCTGCAATGAGGGGACACGCAGTCAGACCTTCAGTCCAGTCACAGAACTCCAGTTTTACCACGAAGAGGACAAGTCCCAAAGGACGAGGAAGCTGTGGGTGTGATGTGTGCCAGAGGAGGGTGGCTGCATTGGGGATTTTGAGTACTTTCCACCTCCCTGCTCCTCAGCCCAATAGTGCGCCACCACCACGACATCACAGACTTATCTGCTCTTCTCCAAAACATCAACAGTTGAATGGTCAGAATGGGTTTAATTAGGATCAGTGGCAGAAACACCGCTGTGCCATTTTCAGACGTCGCACTCCTCTGGAGTTCAGAGGAAAAAACGTCTTTGAGCTTCGTTAGAAGCTCAGCCTGAAACAAAATCCACTGCACAAGAAAAGCCCTTTGGGGGTTTTTATTCCACTGAAATAACAGTTAAAGTCTGGCAACGTTCTTAAGATCTCAGAGCTGTAAGGTTATGAATGGACATGTCTGCAGGCAGGCGGGGGGACAACAGAGCCCGTAAGCTTCCTTGCATTGCACATTATGCCCCTGAACGTCCCTCTTGATGAGGACACCACTTTTGTTTCTGGCCCTTTGTACAGAGCTTTACACAGTGGTGTAGGATTAACCAAATTAACTCGACCACAGCTGAAACCAGCACACAAGTGTGGACTGACAACCTGTATGTCTGCACCCAGCCTGGTCTTCTATGCTTCTTTTGTACTCAACAATTTTTCTTTAAAAAGTTAAAAAATCAACACATCATGAGCTCAGGAACCCAGGATTAAAGGATTAAGTATCAAGGAGGTGTCCTTTATGCAAAGATCTGGTTTAGCTCAGTGGAAATCCAATCGAGTTCGAAGCCACTGGGATCCCTCACAAACATATTACCTACATATGCTCACCTGAATGTGTCAACCGTATCAGGTATTAATTAGCACAAGGTTTTGCCGTGTAATTTATCAGTAAATTAGGAGTTTCAAAACTCACACAAGTTCCCATTATGTGGCAAAAGCCTCCCGAGCTGTTCAGACTCCATCGCTCTAATCTGAAGCTGGAAGCCACGAAATTACTGTCTTGGTCACAACCACCATCTTGGCCAATCTTGGTCAACGTCACAACAAAGAAAAAGGCATTTTAAGTCACCTGAGTGTACCTTGTGGATTCTGGGGGCTCGAGGGTCCGTGCCCACATCCACCACGTAAATGCGGGATGAGATCAGGCACGGGAGGATGAGGCGATTGCGGCTCTTTGTGGTGTCCCCAAAGCAGCTGCTGCAGGCGTTCCACCCCGAGTGATGGAGCTCGTCTTTCAGGTTGGGCATGGGCAGGCGATGGATGACCTGCAGCACCAGACTTGAGATTCAGCCTGGGATCGTTTTTCACCCCAGGCAAAGAAATTGGTCTTTGTGTCAAAGCATAAATTAATAAAGAGCAGAAGGAAGCGGCTGTTTGTGATTCAGGAAGCGGAGTCAGGGCGGGATACAAAGAGCTGAAGCGAGAAGCTGGGAGAGGAAAGTTGGACATCGCGATCGCCTGGCATTTGTTAAATGCTGTATGCTGTCAAATTGATTTCCAACTAATTAAGGAGATGTGGAGTAATTACACAGAAAACAGAAACCAAACAGAAAAACAGAAAAAAAAACAATTGTCCATTTGCTGCAAGTCTCAGAGTTCACAGGTTTCACCTGATTGCATCTGGGACTGCTGCAAACTGGCTCGTTAATTTGCACTCTTGCTCCTAACTTTACCCTTCTCCCCTAGAACTAAGAGGATTTGGAGATAACAAAAAGATTTGTCAGTCTCAGGAAATTTGCTTCCTCCACTCCTCCACAATAGAAACCTAAATGGTAGCTATAAAAAACAGAAAGGAGAACAAATGACGAAAAGCTCTGCTGCCAAACCAGAATCAGCGTTCCTTAAAGATATGGAGATCAGAGTCCAAAACATCTTCACCGACTCGAGTCGGTCAACCCTCCCGTTGCAAAATAAATGGAGCAGATTTCTGTTGCCCCACATGCACGTTTCCCAGGGTCTCACAGGTGCTACGTGACAAACTCAGGCCATGCCACCTTTCAGGGTTTAATTTTACGCTCAGTATAAATCATCAAGTGATAGAAAATGCTCTGAAAATGTCTCCGGAGCACCAGGAGGCTCCGGCCGTCCCACACGCAGTACCTGGCAGTAGTGTGGGGATTTGGGGTCAACATCCACGGTGGCCAAGTAGTCCGGCTTCTGGATGCCGGTGTTCCTGTAGATGCAGGGCAGGTAGACGATCTCCTCCCGGGGACCTTCCAAACAGAAGTCATTTCATGGTCAGAAAGAATCATTTTGGTAAAATACTGTGGTTAACGCTGAAATACACTGATTTTAATCCCTGAGTCTGTGAATTATGATTCTTCCTCACCCGTAATCAGGAAGCCAGAGCTCAATACCATTAAATGTCCCATGGAGCATCTGGGTCCTTTCTCCTCTTCTCCCATTCTTCTCTCACAGCACTTCTATGAGAGTCTGTGGGCATCTATATAAGTCTACCCAAAAACACCCCTGAAACATTTCTGGAGTCATGGGGATTTGTACCCAATATACTTAAAGGCAAACTCTATTTTGCAGTATAGAACCCAGAACAGTTGGTTGCGTGTTGGCATCCTACAGCCATGCATTTATCTCTGTTTTAACACAGCTTCACCAAACTCACAGCGCTTCATAGGATTGAGTTCAGAGTGAAACCAAATCTCCTCTGATACTTAAAATCTTCTTGGTTTTGCTAATTAATGGGCCACCAACAGTTCTCACTGAACTGGAAAACCATCCCTCACATGCAGGGCCTGCATTTAGGGGGTGCTGCAGCACTTGCCCTTCATGGCGTCCAGGGGAGTCGCGTATCCTGGGCCGCATGCTCCACATTTTGCTGGCAAGAGAAACAAAGGAGAGGTTTTAGAGAGGTTTCAGTCTCCACATTCTTTCAAAATTCATCTCTAAGAGCACACTGGCTCTGCATTCAGAGGTGGACTGATATCAGATTCAATCGACATCGCCAGACGTCTGTAAGTCTCTCTGAGTCGGGTCAGTGCTGAGGTTCCTTGAGTTACTGAATGCGATGCTCCACACTCAAAAACGATGGGAAATTTGGGCCTTCATCTCACAGAATTCAGCCTCACAATTCCCAGCGCAGAGGCAGCATCAGCTCCCCTGCCCGTTTCATGGAGTTTTCTCTGCAGGCAGAACCATCCAGCAGTGCATGCACTGCACGAGGAGGTCTGTGATTCCAAATAGAAGATCTCCTCAAATAGAGAAACTCAGCACATTAGGTTTAATCTCACATTCTTTGTGAAATGTTGCTGGTTCTTTTTTTTGTCTGAAAACACAGCGTGGAAAGTTTGCTTTGTTCCATACACCATAATTGCAACTTTATTCCAATTTTCTCAATCAGCCAAATTAGCAGGAACGCAGTCTGCGTTAGACCACAGCTTAATTAGCACTGCAAATCAGCGTTCTGCAGATCGCTCTGAGCACAAAGATTTCCTTTCCAGAGAAAACCTACAGCAAATGACAAACATCTCCTGGCTTCTCCCGTTCCTTTCTCCTCTCCCTCTGCTGTCTTTCAAACACGTCCAGCCCCAACCCGTCCCCACCTCCGTGCCCGCTCAGAGGATCATTACAGTGGAGAGGACCTCCAAGATCACCAGGTCCGGCCCTCGGCCCTCCCTGCCCGCTGAACAGCCTGCGTAGGGCCGTCTCATAGCAAATGCAGTTACTGTAAACACAAGAAGGAAGCACTTTCTTCCACTGTTTGGGTTTAGCAGCTGGAAATACAGGAGAGGAGCCTGAAGCTTTGCCTTTTATCTCTGCTATTGTACAGCAGCAGCTCCTCAGCCCTCGAAGACAAACCGTGGAAGTGCCCACACGCCTCAGAGGGAGTTTAGGAGAGAAGTGGTGAGGATGTATGGACCTCTGCTGAGGGCTTTCAGCCAATCCATTGCTCCTGGCGGCGGCCAGCGCTGCAGCGCAATGTTTAGCTGACTCCTTCCGCAGCACCTGGTGACTCCCTGCCGCCACCATTCCCACAAAAAGGCCACTATCATAGCCTGCCAGCTGCCGCTCCACGCTTTTTAGCCATTGGAACACAGCAAGCACTTTCACTTTGTGCCTTTGGCACCAAGATAAGCGCTCAGCACAGGAGATAACCCAAACTGGCCCTTCTGCTGAATCATGAGCTCTGGCTTTGCTGAGAAGTTTCTCTAACTTCTACCCCCAAACCTGTTGGAAATGGCGAAGGAACGGCGCTCGCTTCCACATTACACAACAATTTATGGATGTGCAAAGTCATTTCCATCTATTTCAGTGCCCTCCCCTTCTTTTGGGACAGCAGAGAAGGAAATAAAAGCCCATAGCAACAATGCAAGTGAAAAATGAAACTCTGCTCCTGGCTTTCCTGGAAGTGCCGTTCCCGTTCGGGGCAGCACAGCCCAGCTGCATCAGCTCCTGACAGCTCAAAGCGATGAGCATCGTGGTGTAAGGAGTGTTCCCAGAGAGCACCGCCGCTGTGCAAAACGGCGGCAGCATTTAACGGAGCAAAGCTGTGCAGAAAATGGTGAGCTCAGCCCCACCAGCAAACGCAGCAAAGTTTCGCAGCACAGAACAGAGCAGAAAGCAGCAAATCAACCGCTGGAGCTCTTACCCATGTTGGCTCCGAGGTGCGCAGCAGGAAGCACGGCGCCTGGAATGGAGTAAAGCAGAAGGGAATAAACAGAGAGCAAAGGGGAGGGCAGAGAGCTGCCCGGGGGAGGATCGAATGCACTGAAGGCCCAATGGTCTGGAAGCACTGAACCCACCTCCCCCTCTGCTCTGCTCGCCTCCGACTGCTCCAGTTGAGTCCCAGTGGAACGGGCGGATGTTGTGACCCTGAGCTGAGCCTGAACGCTTTCCAGCAGCACAGAAGGAAGTGGTTGTGCTGAATATCTTCGCCCCTTTGGCAGCTGCTGCGTTTTCAGCACTTCAGCCCTGTAAACAAAGTGGCTCCAAGGGGGGGAGGGGGGGACGCTCACCAAGTCACTTCTACAGCAGCTGCTTTCAAAACTGACGTGAAAATCTGATTGTCATCCCACTGACCAAAAGCAATCAGTAAATATGAATGCCCCGTTCTAAAACAGTAAAAACTCCTAACAGTAAAGACTCCTTTAAGTGTCTGCACTGCAAATTTGGTGCAAATGATGGATGCTGAGTGCCCTAAAATGAAAAATATTCAATTACTGTTCCTATGAACTTAAGGAACTCATCCACAACAACTCTGGAGTCAATGGGGAAAACAAAAGTTATCTTCAGGAAAATCATGGAGGTTAAACTGGGTTCCAGAAGACAGAAAAGAGTCAATCACAGCCAACTGTTGGAACAAAGAAAGTGTGAAATCCTGGAAAATTGTTCTATATTTCCTTAGTGCCTGAAATTACCTTGGAGAGAAGCAGCCCAGGTAGGCAGGGCATCGTAGAGAGCTTGTTTCCTTGCTTCAAGGCAAGGATGCACAACATCAGCACAGAAGGAAGGAAGAAATCAAGTTGGGGATTGGCAGAGGGAATATTTTTGGTGGTAAATACAATCATCAGTCATCAGTAAATGGAACTTAGCTGCAAGATCTTTCAGACATCTGAATTCCAATGACAAACTCCCAACTTTTCCCCTCAATAGCACTGCCAGCCTGAGTGGCATTTCAGGAGAAAAATCATTTTTTATTCACTGCTGCTTCCTGACTACGAGACGTGCTTTTATTAATGCTCAGTAATTAAATAATGCTGCTCTGAGGCAGAGGCACCACCAGGAACACAAACACATCGCTGGTGAAAATGTTGGTTATTATTATTGGGAGGAAACGCGACCCTTTGCGTTGCACACATGATTTACAGGGGACAGAAGTGTCGTGCACACAGCGAGCTGCGTAAATGAGGGAGAATGACGGGGAGCTCGGGAAGGCCATCACAAGGAAATTAATGTGCTTGCTTAACGAAGTGCGGAGTCATAAATCACGTTGCAGCATCGCACCATGGGGGTCCATTTGGGAAGCACTCGACTCACCAAAATCACGTTTCGAGAATGAAGGAAACGACATTTCAAAGGATGTGAGAGATGCAAATGCTATCAGTTTTGAAGAGCGCACTTGTGTGTCTTAAAAATGATGTTGGTTGGTTGGAACTGGGTGATCTTCATGGTCCCCTCCAATCTATTCTATGATTCTATGAAAAATATGCTGGCTGTTAATAAAAACGAGCATTATCAGTTTTCACCTTATGACCTTCAGTATTCAGTCTGTACTGTATGCAGCTAAAAGCTGTGTGGCCCATCACGACTGAATTATTCACAAGAAGAAGTTTATTATTAAAGACATGAATCATTTGAAATCATCCGTGGGAGAAACGTAGGGAGAATCCCAGGGAGATCTGTTGGCTTGACGGCTTGGGGCACTCGGGAGGCACCGATCCAAACACACAGTGAAGGAAATGCACAACTGTGAGCATTTCTGTGGTTGCTTTGGTTATGTTTGGGTTGCTTACAGACACAACATTGCGCTCAGGCTGCAGGGCACACCGCTCAGCACAGGTGGTGCAGTCACTGTCCTGGAGGTGCTCAAGAGGAGGGTGGATGTGGAGGCACTGAGGGATGTGGGGGGTGGGCACTGTGGTGGGGGTGGGTTGGGGTTGGACTTAGTGATCTTAGAGGTCTTTCCAAGCCCAGTGACTCTACGGGGACAGATCCTGAAGGCACTCTCCTGCTGCATCCACCTCAGCAATGGTGTTCAGGAACCTGTGGAGATGCTGATGGCCATTCAATACAAAGCATTCATCTTGAAGCTGTCCCTGAGAAGTGACATTTGTGTCCACTTTTGATGTAATTACGAGTTTCACAGAAGAGAGATGAAATGATTTGCTTCATTAATAAGGTCTCCCACATCTCCTGTAAGCCTCCTCCATCACCAGATGTACCTCCTGTCACTTGGAGATACCAGAACTGCATCACTGGCCACACCATAGAACTTAAGCCCCATGCTGTTGGCTGTGCAATGTCTCTTCTAACAGATGAGAGGTTTCAGCAGCATTTCTCTCCTGAAAACCTGAAGGTTGAAAGTGGAGGCCTGGCTCCGGACAGCACTGCCAAGCACCAAAACAGCTGTCTGCTGGTGGTGAGACACTGAGAACTCCCTACAAATCCCTAACCACAGCGGAGGCCGTGGGCACTCAACAAGCCACCAACTCAAAGCCAATAACTACAGAATACAGAATCACTGAGGTTGGAAAATACCTCTGTAATCACCGCGTCCAGCCCAGCCCGTCCCCACCAACCACGGCCCCACGTGCCACATCTTCATGGTCCTGGGATACCTGCGGGGACGGCGATTCCACCACTTCTCTATTTCACACGGAGATGTGGCATCTGGGGACAGCGGGGATGGGGTGACGGGCTGGGGCTGAGGACGGGAATGCGCTGGGGTGGCCGCGGAGTCTCCGCGGACGAGCGCAGCCCACCGCGCATCGCTCGCGCCGCTCCACCGCCCCTGAGGAGGCGGTGGCGGAAGCCCCGCCCCCCGAGTGACGTCACCACAACGCCCGCCAATCCGCGCGGCGCATCGCGGCCCGGCAGGAAGTGACGTCACCGTCTCCCTCCGCCGCCCGGTCCCCTTTTTGTGTGTGTGTGTGTGTGTGTGTGTGTGTGTGTGTGGAGTGCGGCGGCTCCGCGTGTATCCCCCCGCGGCGGCTCCTCCTCCTCCCGCCCCCCCCGGCCCTCCGCCCGCCGCCCGATGCCACCTGCGCTGCGCTCCCGGGGTTGAGGGACCGCGCGGAGCGGGGAAGGTGAGAGCCGGGCGGGGGGTGGGAGGAGGAGGCCGCGGTCCGTTATGTGCCGTGGGCGGAGGGATCGGGGGGAGTCGGGGGTGAACCGGCTCCAACCGCCCGGGGATGGGGGGAGGGGGGGAAAGAGGGGCGCACACAAAGCGGGGGAGGAATGGGGGGGGCGGGGGGAGGAGCCGCCGTGCCGCGGGGCGGAGGGATCCTCTCACACCCCCCGCGGTGATGCGGCCACGATCCCTCCGCCCCGCGCGCCCCCCCGGAGCTCCGCCGCCCCCCCCCACATCGGTGGGCGGCCATGTTGGCACCGGGGTTATTTTTTCTGCCTTTCTCCCAGGCGCGACGCTCTCAGCCCTGGCAGGGGCCGCGCTCCGTGCCGAGAGGCCCCTCCCGAAGGCCTCGCGCCCCCCCGAGCCCCGCTGCGGCCTTCGGCCCTTCCCCGCCCCCCGGCGCTCAGTGGTATCGATGGGGGTCGCGGCCCTCCGGTCTGCGCCGTCCCCGCGGAGCCCCCCCCGGGCGCGGGGCGGTGCTGAGCGCTGCTTTGTGTCCGTGGCTGTCGGTGACACGGAGCGCCCCTGCGCTGTGCCCGTGGTGACCGAGCTCGGGGCTGCGGGCATGGCAGTGAGGGGCTGCAGGAGGGGCCCTTCTGGTCCAACGCAGCCGCCAGACCAAGCCTTTCAGTCCACGCCGTTCACTGAGGGGTCTGGAAGTTCCCATCCAACCCCTTTGCTAAGCAGTACCTTGCAACCCAATCCATTCCCTATGGGAATCCTCTTGACTCGAGCTGTTTGCTGAGGGATCCCTTCCAGCCTGGTCACAAAGTGTTCGCTTCCAACACAACCCAACTCAAGCCCTCCCAACCCAACCTGAGCTATTGGCTAAGGGCTCCCCTCTGACACAACCCATTCCAAGTCTGTCTGGTCCCACACTTCTCCTGGCTGCACCTGCTGAGTCTGGGTGTTTGCTTTTGAGCTGCTTGCACTGTTTTACTCAACATCACGCTGTGGTGCTGCCTTTCAGTCCCAGAGAAGCCTGGTGGCTGCAGTGGGACAACCCAGCTCTGCATCCCCTGCCCCACTCTGTGCTGTGTCACAAAATGTGTGCAGGCTTGCACTGCCCTGCACAAAACTCATGTCACACAACAAAATGCATCGCATTAGTTTTATTAGCCTGGCTGTGGTAGCAGCTGTCACCCATGGTGAAATGGGGGAGAGCATGCAGGTTGACATGGGGGTAGAGGTTTGGGGATCTGTTTCTTCTTTTAGGAAAGGCTTTGTGGGGAAATAGGAATTCTGCATCTTCCCTGCGCTGAGCCTTGCTGTGTGCTGATGGTTTGAGGTTGCTGCAGATGGGAAGTTTATGCCATGCCTGGGTATAATTTTATCTGCAGTCGTATTGTGCCTAATAGCAGAAGTGGGGCTGTCCCGCAGCGCTGAGCTCTGTCTGGGCCAGGGGTTCTGCACGTGTTGCTCACAGATGGCACCGTGTTGTGGATATATATATGGCTGTGTTGTTTGTGTGCACGATCCCACAGCTGCTTGGAGACTGTCAAAGGATGAGCGACTGCCTTCGTTCTGACAGACCTGCCCCACGCTCCTTGCCATTTGCAGGAATGGAGCTGCAGACAGCTGGTGGGCTCCAGAAGCAGCTTCAGGGTAGTACCGTGGTCACAAAATATGTCCCAAATGTTCAGCAGAGCTGCGGAGACACATAGCAGAAAGCGGTTTGTTTTCATCACTCAGCACTTCCAACTTTGAGGTAGATAACAATCATTAAAATTGAGTGTAATAATAGATTTTAATTAGTAGCATCACACACATCAAAGCCTTTAATAAAATACAGAGGACTTTAAATGAAGGCATTCATAGCAAATTTAATATGGCTGTGGACGAAGTTGGGTACCCAGCAGAGCACAGAGCAGATTCACCTCGGTGTGAAGGATTGGCTGCCCAGCCTCCACCTGCTCCCTTCTTTCAGAGGTGTTGCTCATGATGAATGGCCGAATAAACACTAATGAAAACATCATCCAACATTTTCATCACTGAGATTATATCAGCTCGAAGCTGTGCCAGTTATTCATTAAGAGCCACCGAAGAACATTATCTTTTCTTCAGGGAAGGGATCGCGGCGTGTCTTGACA